CACACACACACACACACACACACACACGGTACTTCTCTAAATAAAACATAAAAACAAATGTATCAAATAAAAGACCAAAAAGTTCAAGCAGCTTTCAGAAGAAGAAAGACTAACAAGATAGATCAAAATCCATCATGAAATAGGGTGAACAGGTCATGACAACAAAAATTTTAGGGAAATTAGAGGACTTAGTCCAGTCCACTCATTTTTTTTTCAGATAGACGAGTATCTAGAAAGGGGAAGAGAATTATCTCGAGGCCCCCAGAAGTCCTGTTTCTGAATCACCCTGGAGCCCAGCTCTTCTGACTCTCAGCTTCCGGCTTCTCCTCTGGGGCCCTGTGTTCCTGCTGCCCCCCCCCGCCCCCCGCCGTGGTGACCAGCGGGTTTCAGAGGCTCTTTGACCAGGTCGGCCAATCGGGGTTTCCAGAGGGGCTGCAGAGGTCACTGGGAGTGAACCCCATTCCATGACAACATGGATGGTCTGAAATGCCAAAGAGGTGTGAGGCAGGAGACAGGAGACCTGTGTGACAGGTGAGCTTGGAAAGAGCTCAGACCAAAGACAAACACAGTCTAAAAAGTTTTTGCAAGTTGAGTAGTTGTCAGACCAGCAGGAGAGAATGACATCACTTGGGTCTGTAAGGTATGCTCACACTGAGATGACTTCAAATTACCGCTCATTAGCATGATGGAAAATGTCACTAATGTCTCTAGGAGGAGTCACCTTAACTTAAAGGGGCAGGCCGGGTGGGGACTCTGGCAAGTGATACATAGATGTTGGTGGTGTGAAGTCAAAAGCAAAATGAATCAAAATCCTTCGATATCTGCATGCACCTGAATTCCACAGGGTAATAGTCATTCCTGTACAAATTATTTATTTGTTAGGGTGATCATTTTAGCATTTTATGTCATTTAAAAAATGGGAGGGAAACAGCATGTGTTCCCAACAGAGAAAATTGACAAAGTTATTATGTATCTAAGTGCTGCAATAGTTACTATGAATCTAAGTGCTACAATATACCGCAAAAGTCTGATAAGTTATATGCAAAAATATTTGGATAATATTAAGATCATATAAAATATTATGGCATATAAGACAYAATCACATCTTTGCACAATAAAAATAGCAGTAAATATAGCAAAACATAAACAGTGACTATGTTTGTTGAGTAAAATGTATTCTTTTATTCTTTGAATAGCTCTAGATTTCAGCCATTGTCTATCCCATAAATTGCTGCATTTATTTAGAATACTTCTTCATATGTTTAAAACATCAAAGCAGCACAACCTATTGATGAGCTAGAGGGAAAGTGTTTGTCCAGAACCTTCTGGAGGCTCTGAAGCAATTTCCAGGCCAGCAACCCAAAGGTGGGAGCAAGAGTCTTAAGACATTTTGGTGGTTGCACATAACACCACGGTTCAACTCTAAACCCCAATAACACTCCCTCCCTCCCTCCCCTCACAGACTAGTCTCCCCTTTGACTTCAACATTGTCCCCCAAGTTACCCTGTACCTGGCCAGGGGTGAACGCTCCCTGACAGAGCTCTTTCTCTTCCCCCGGCCACTTTCTTTGCAATGACAAGAGAATGCCAWCTACCGAGTCAGCAGTCGAGGGCAGGGGCTGTTTTTCACACGAGGAATCCCAGGCACAGACCACCGCTGCGTGCTGAATCGCGGTCCACAACCTGCCTGCCGACCTCAGCTTGTGCAGGTAAAGAAGTTCATATTTAGTTTCTTCTTGTGACTATAGTCGGCTTCCTCACCTGCTCTTTCCTGTATGCGAGCAGGACCGGGAGTCCCCAGGGGGTCTAGAGGAGAGCAGTTCCATAGGCAGTTCCCACGGAGAACGGGGAGTTTCTCGTGGGTGTCCCACTGGGCTGCGGGCGTTGCCTCCTTACTTCTGACTCAGGAGAGCTCTCTGGTGGACATGGCTGTGAAATCTTGTCCCAACTGGCTTTCTCCATTTCCCTACTTAATTTGCTTGCTTCTCTTCCTGTTTTCCTATTCCAGTTTTATGTCCACCACTCCCCCAACCTGCCCCCCCCCACACCTCCCCAGAACCAAATGGCTGGCCTGGCTCTCACGAGGCCTCCACTGGCCCTTGATGCATTAACAGACACAGCTTTCAACGGGCTGCATCCAACAGCCTTGCGCGTCCCACACCAGGTGCGCATCCTGGATCCCATCTTCCCTGTCCTGCTTAGGGCTTCCCTGTGGACTCTGGGTCCATGCCACATGGCGAGGGTCATTTCATCTCTGCTGAGCGGTTTCACCTTCACTGAATGATGCAGGATGTCGGCACCACATTCTTTGAACACAGACCCTTCCTAGCTTRGGGACCGCTTGAGCCTGACCCTTCCCCAACCTCATGCTCCCTACATATCAAAGGCAGCAAGGCTCACGACAGTGAAAACCACCTGCTCCTCCCTAGCTGTACCTGCAACACCCTTTGGAAAGAGGTGTCCTGTAGCCTTTAGAAGACTGAGCTCCACAGGACAGGGCTGTCTCTCCAATCCAACGGAGAGACTCCCCAGCGGAAGGACGTCTGTTTATCCAGTGACTAAAGCAGTGGCCACAAGGACAGAAGGACTAGCTTATGTCACTTAGCATGACGGTCTCCAGATCCAGCCATTTAAGGCGAATGTCATAAAGTCATTCTTCTTTTATTTTTCATTTGCTCTAATTAGTTATGCATGACAGTAGAACGCATTTTTGATACATCAGCCATAATGGAGTATAACTTCTCATTCTTCTGGTTGTACGTGATGTAGAGTTACATGGGTCATGTAATCATATGCACATAGGGTAGTAATGTCAGATTCACTCTATTATCCTTTCTACCCCCATATCCCCTCCTCCTTGACTCCCCTCTATATGATCTAGAGTACTTCTATTCTTCCTTACCCACTCCCTCATTTGAATTAGCATCCACATATCAGAGAAGGCATTCAGCCTTTAGCTCTTTGGGATTGGCTTATTTTGCTTAGCATAATATTCTCTAGTTCCATCCATTTACTGGCAAATGCCATAATTTAATTCTTCTTTGAGGCTGAGTAATATTCCATTGTTTATATATACTACATTTTCTTTATCCATTTATCTGTTGAAGGGCACCTAGGTTGGTTCCACAGTGTAGCTATTGTGAATTGAACATTGATGTGGCTGTGTCCCTGTAGTTTGCTGATTTTAAGTCCTTTGGGTATAGACCAAGGAGAGGGACAGCTGGGTCAAATGGTGGTTTTATTCCTAGTTTTTTCAGGAATCTCCATTCTGCTTTTCAGAGTGGTTGCTCCAATTTGCAGTCCCACCAGAAATGTATGAATGGACCTTTTCCCCATATATTTGTCAACATTCATTTCTACTTCTTTTTTTTTTTTTTTTTTGGTATGGGGCACTTAACCTCTGAGCCACATCCCCAGCTCTTTCTTTATATTTTATTTAGAGATAGGGCTTTGCTGAGTTGCCCAGGGCCTCTCTAAGTTGCTGAAGCTGGCTTTGAACTCGGGATCCTACCCCAGCCCCCTGAGCCACTGTGATGACAGGCATGAGCCTGGCTTACTTGTATTCTGATTAATCGCCATTCTGAGTAAAGTCATATGAAATCTCAGTGAAGCTTTAATTTGCATTTCTCTAACTGCTAGAGATGGTGAACCTTTTACATATATGTGTTGACCATCATATTTCTTCTTTTGAAAAGTGTCTCTTCAGTTTCTTTGCCCATTTATTGATTGGTCTATTTGTTTATTTGGTGTTAAGTTTTTTTTTAATTCTCTATATGTCCTGGAACTTAATGCCCTATCTGAGGTGCAGGTGGCAGAGACTCCCCCRCACTCTGTAAGCTCTCTTAACGCTCTTGTTTCCTTTGCTATGAAGAAGCTTTTTAGTTGATGCCTTTCCATTTATTGACTATTGATTTTGCTTCTTGTGCTGGTTTGGTTTTTGATAATATCCATTTCTACTGGTCATCCCTTTGAAAATAATTACTTCATTAGAAAGATTTCCGAGGGTCGTTTTGGGAGAGAAACTATGGGAAGTGTGTTTGTAAGGACATGTAGTTGTATATTTGTGTGTATGAAAAGAATGTGAGGTTCACATCTCCTGCAGAGGACTGCCGATTCCCCACGGGAGGCACTCTGTGCTCTTCTCCATCTTCCTGAGCAGGGTTAGGTCTCTATGCACATGGTAGCTATCGAGCAAAAGATCCTATTGTCTGTTCTYATGGAGATGGAGCGTGAGTGGGTGATTATGTGATGTGTGATTATTTACAAAGACTATGTCTATTCCTGAGTATCTATATGGCTCAGGGTATCTGGAATGTAAAATGAGTGAAGGAAAACAGGTTACTAAGTTCCAATGTGTGGAAGGAAATTTTCCTTGGAATAGACAGGCGACGTGTTGGCAGAATACTGAGGAGCTTGGAGGAGGCACCATGGAACTCCAGTGTGACTCAGTCCCAAGTAAGAAGCCATCTTTGTTCTAGCTGTGGCTCCCCAAAGTGAGAGCTTCCGGTTGCCGTTATACAAYGCCTCATTGATCTCCCAGAAATGCCCTTGAAGTGTATCCCCCAAGGCCTCATGAAAGAATCCGGTGCCAAGATTAAATAGGTGGCATGGACACCAGTCCTTCCCCGTGATATGTCGTGACTCATATGGGAGACCGCGGCAGGGGCAGGCTGAGCCCTGACGCACAGCCGAGGTGGAGAGACAAGTGATTTAAGGGGACAGAGCAGGAAACAYGCAGTTCCTTCCATCAGGAAAAACTACTCAGATGAACTCTCAGCAACTAAAGACCAGCAAAGGCACTAAGAGTTTCTTAAAGGCTTACACACACTTCCTGAGAGTTTATGCAAGGGAAGGTTTGGGTGCATGATTTTAGGATACAAATAAGGAGTCAGGGTGACAACATGTTGATTATGAGATCTATTGAAAGTTGAGACAGGCAGAGGGGAAGAGGGTGTTCATCAGGGGGTGCTCAACTCCTGAAGAGCCCGGCTCTGGACGGCTTCACTTCTGCTTGGTCTTCTGCTGAGCTGGGCCTGGAGCCACTTTTGAGGGGAAAGGCTCAGGGACCACGGTGTGGCCTGGCTGTGGAGCCACAGTGCAGCCTGGCTGAGGAGCGATGGTGCAGCCTGGCTGAGGGGCCACGGTGCAGCCTGGCTGAGGAGCCACGGTGCAGCCTGGCTCAGGGACCTTGGTGTAGC